CCCAACAAGTAAGTAGCAACTCCCGCCGTGGCGCGTCTTGTGTCGGGGTCACCGGCCCAATCACTGTGCGCGTAAAGGATGCGATCAAGATACGAAGTTTCCATGAAGATCTCAACGGAATTGGAGGCTCGCCGCATTCGGCGTCCGAGGAGGCTTCTTGGCCCTCGGAAAGCTCTNNGCTCTCCAGTCACACGAAGGAGAAGTTCCTTCTGAAGTGGCGCAACCACGTCCGCAACAGCCTTCTTGCCGCCAAAAATCATCAAGTCATTTACGTAGCAAAGAATGTACACCTTACGCGTAGCGTTGTAGTACAAGTTAGGGTCACTTATCATGCGCCTAAACTTTTGCAACTCACGTGTAGCAGCGAGGTGCTGCTGCCAAAGTTTGGGCCGTTTAAGTTTCCCAAAACCCGCTGCTTTGCCACGCGCTCGGCCAAACGATATCTTCACATATGCTCGAAGGTGACATTTCGGATCTCAATTCATTCTGGGATCATGATGCTCTTCTGTTGTAACAGCTATTGAACAACACGTTCCTGTACTCCATCAAAGAGCAAACAAACCGTGGATCGGTTCTCGCGCCTTGGATCTACTACGCAGTCGTCGCGAACCCCGTGCAAAGGGGCGCTGGAATTCAGAGAAGCAGTTGCAGGAAGAGGTGAAAAAATCTGCCAAGCAAGATCGAGCGGCGTCGCTTGAAAATTTGGCATCTTCAGGTGACTGGAAATCTATCAATGTGCTCAGGAACAAACGTCGCGCAAAACACAAGGTCGTCTTCGTCGTGCTGATGGCGTGCTTATGTCCTCTGCGCACCGTGCAGAAACTTTAGCAGATCGCCTGGAAAAAGTACAATGGAGGGTTCGACCCGCGACTTGGACCCCTGGTTCTGAAGCTCCTCTGGGAAACCCATTGCGCGTGAACGCATCCAATTTCAACCATGCTGAATGACGCAAAGCGATGCAACAAATGGCAAATGGCGCCACAAAAGCACACAAAAAACACAAACGAGGAAACACGCCAACAAAAAATCAACCAGACAAACGCAAAACAACACCAACTATGAAACACGAGCACCAGCCAGAGCGCCAGAAAAAGCGACAGAAAAGCACCAAAAAACACAAACGCTAGGAAACACGTCAGAGAAAAAACAACACCAAAAACACGAAAACATACAAACTATGAAGCACGAGCGCCAGCCAGAGCACCAGAAAAAAGGGAAGCGTAAACACACACAAACTAGGAAACACGACAGTCAAAAAACAACCAGAAAGAAAACACAAAAAAGAAAAACATGAAAACGCATTAACACACAACCAATTATGAAACACAAGCACCAGCCAGAGCGCCAGAAAAAGCATCAGAAAAAAACACCAAAAACACATGTTAGGAAACACGTCAGACAAAACAAATCAGAAAACACCAAAACACCCAGAGTATGAAACATGAGCACCAGCCAGAGCACCAGCAAAAACAAAAAACAATAACCAGACACGCGCAAAAAAAATTAGGAAACACGTCAGACGAAAAGAACACCAGAAAGACACAAACAAAACACCAACTAGGACACACGAGCACCAAAACAAGTACTGCGGAGTTGAAGCTCAACGGTGCTGCGCCTGACAAATTTTCTGATGCAAAGGAAGCCGAAAAGCATCAGGCCTTTTGAGAGGCCTCGCGGGGTCTCTTGTGGCTCCTGAAATTCCTGGCGCCTCCTGGGGCTTCTTTGGGCCTCTTGGGGCCTCTGGGCCTCTTGGGGCCTTTCTGGTGCCTCTTGGGCCTTTGGGTCTTGGGGTTTCTTGACGCCTCTTGTGGCACCTTGGGCCTTTTATTCTAGGGTGTAGGTCAGTGTTGATGGTTAACTTGCTGGGCCGAAGTTTGTTCATACTTTGGCGACAGCGGGAGTCCCAAACATGAAAGTATGATCACATTGATTCTCAAGCGCTGCAGTTTTACTGGTGCTTTTTCTGATGCCCCTGTTTGTGCCCACTGTTACTGGGCCGGGGTCGCAGCCAACCTGTCCTGAGTACCTTCAGGAGAAACCAAAGTAGTCTAGCGCGCTTGTGTAACCTGGTCAAAGTATGATTTGCACTGTTCAGTACCCAGCGGTCAACATGATACTGAACCGTCTTGAAAGTTGGCGCAACAAGTCCCGGTGGAGGCCTCGCAGCAAACTGTGCATGAAAGCTTGTGTTGAAGTCGGCGTACTCCCCAGAATCAAAGCTGACAAGTTTAGGGTGCAACAACAAAAGTGAACCATGCCTAACCACAGGACTGCTCCCACCTGAAGGGCCTTCAAGTCTGGAACCTTCAGAACTCAATGTGGCCTTGCATCCTTTTTGAAGAAGTCTCGCAGCCGAAATAACACTGTAAGGAACATGACAACCACAAAAAATTCAGCCACAAACGCTTCTTTTCAATCTCAAACGCAACAAGTTTCCCGCCAGAAATGTTCAAAGTCTGTCCTGAAATGCTNNACATAGAAGTTCAACCACAAACGCTTCCCTTCAATCTCAAAAGCAACAAGTTTCCTACCACAGTTGTTCAATGTCTCTCCTGAACTGCTTTTCAAAGGTGGCGCTCTCTCATCAAGTTGCAGCAAAAGAAATTCTGGCGCAAAGTCAGGAGGGCAACAATTTGCTGCAGCGCCAAAATCAAACAAAATCCAAGTCTCATGATTTCCATGCTCAACTGAAGCAACCACATGTTCATGCTTTGCCATGTAGGGACCAAAGAAACTTGTGTCAAGATGTCCAAGTTTCCAATCTTGCAAAGTCATTGGATGAGAATCTGTCATCTTAGGTGTAGATTGGAAGGCATGCGCTCCAGCTGTGTATGTGTGCCTGACCCGCGGCTACTACGGTACAAGGGCGCCCTTAGTGGAAAAGATAGGGTGCCGCGCTTGCTGCACGCTGCTTGTGGCATTTTGATGGTAAGCGGAGCCGGGCTGTGATCCCGGTATCTGCTGCAGCACGTTCCGTGCCGTCTCTGAGGCCCTGCCTCCTGCCTTCAGCCGCTGCGGAGTGGCCTAGGCCGCCCGCCCTTGTGCCGCTGCTTCACCCTTTTGGAGCTCTAGAAGACCTTCGCAAAATCTTTTGGAGATGTCTGTGGCGGCCCACTCCCGGCTGGAGACGGACGGGTACGGAGTGCCGCAGTATAGCGGAGAGCCCGACGCTTTCGAAGAGTACCAGGAGCAAGCCTGGGACTTGTATCATGGTCGGGATGGCAGTGACCAACTTCAGGCGGCCGCCGCTGTTCACCTTCGAGCTGGCCTCACAGGAGCTGCTTACGAGGCCGTGCGCAAGATCACCCACGAGAAGCTGAAGACGAAGGACGCCGAGGGCAAGCCTGCACCCGCCGGCGTGAAGATCTTGCTGGAGACGCTGAAGGAGAACATTGCAGCGGAGGCACCGGTGAAGGTTGGAGAACTTTTCATGACTGCCTTCTACAGCCCGACCATCTGGAGGCAGCCTGGCGAGACAATGCAGCAGTACATTGTGCGCAGGGACCAGGAGTTCAAGAGGCTGGAGGAGGTTCTTGCGGACGAGCGCACGCAGGCGATCATGCTCCTGACCAACGAGTACAACCTGAAGCAGATTGGCCACGCGCTCAGGATCCAGTACCCAAATGCCTCCAACAAGCCGGTCCTCAGGAGAGACTTCATCGGAGCATCTCGTGGCCAGGCACAGTTTGCGCAGACGAGGCTTAGGCCAAAAAGGTCAGCCGCAAAAGAGAAGACCGAGCGCCGGTCTTTGACCCATGCCTATCTCAGAGAGGACGACGAGGGCGAGGACAACGACGAGGCCTACTACGAGGACTTTGGCGACGGCGACGCGGACGCCTGTGCGGAGTTCTCCGACCTCGATGACGCCGCTGCCATCGACGTCCTCCTTCAGGACTGCGCCTACGAAGAGACGCCGAGCTCGCGGAGGCGCTGGCTACTGTGACCCAGAAGAAGAAAGGGTCTGGAAGGAAAGGCGCCGCCGGCCAGGGCGCGGGCAACAACTTCCCCTTCAAGGTTCAGGGTGAGATCTCCTTCGACAAGGCCCGAGACGCAAGAAAGAAGGCTGTGTCCTTCCTCAAGCATGTCACCCCTTGCACGACCTGCGGACAGAAAGGGCGCTAGAGTGGCGATCCTGAATGCAGCAAAAGCAAGACCGGAAAGGGCAACGCGACGGCCAAGAAGAAGCCCCTGGCCAAGAAGAAGGTGCTGAACTTAAGTCAAGCCCAGCATTCTTTGTGGCGCAGGGTGCCGACGACGTCCAGGACTACGAGGAGCAGTACTTTGTGGACCACCTCGAGTCCCCAGACGGCGTCCAGGCGAGCAACAGCGTCGCTTTAACGAACATGAAAGGTGCCCAGGCTGTGCCCAAGGACACAAAGGTCATTTTCGGCAACGCGTTCGAGTTCCCCGAGGGCGAGACCGCGACTGGAGGCACCGCAGCAGAAGCCTTCATGACCTTCAAGAACACCGACCTTTGCGAGCACGCCTCTTCGAATGGAGGAAAGGAACGGCGGCAGGTCGCGATGTGTACCTTGTGGGGATCGCGCGCAAGGTCCAGAGCTTTGTTTCAACGTGTCACTTCTGTCCGTGGACAAGCGCTGGAGGAGGAAGCTGCAGAGAAGACCCGGCAACAGTATCCACCACAGCAAGGCACCTCCAGCCGCGACTTCTGCGTACCCGCCTTTGCCCGAGAGGATGCCCCAGCCTGGAGCAGGCGCTTGGACCGTCGTCCCGGACACGAGCGCACCACCTGGCTCGGATTCTTTGGCCGAAGCGCCAAGAGCAGAGAGTCTGGGTATATGGCGTGTGTGTGAGCGCCAGCGACGACTTGCCGCTTCCCCGCAGCCACCGTGAGGAGTGGGAGGTGGTCAACCCGGAAACCTCACCGAAGAGCTGGCGACATTGAAGAGCTTGCCATCTTGGACTCAGGCTGCGCGAAGACAATTGGCACCGCCTGGTCGGCTCGCTTCGAGGCTGAGCTGAAGAAACTGGGGCTTAGCTTCGAGTCCAGGTCGATGAAGCAGAACTTCAAGGGCGTTGGCGGCCGCGTAGCCAGCAACGTCATGAAGGTCTACCCGATCGCCGTCCAGGGCATCGAAGTACACAAGCGAGGCGCCAGATGCCCTTCCTCTTCTCCTTTCACGCCCATGGATGGAATCCCAAGATACCGTGCTGGACGTTGGCCAAGGCACCGTTTCCTTTGAGAACCTCGGGCCACCTTGCGGTCAACATCCTCGACTTCAACGACGCCGCCGCGCAGCTCTATGTTGGAACCTCGGCCGGCCCCTCGTCCAGCGACCAACGGCCTCAAGAAGATGGACCGAGACCGCTGTCAGCCGAGGAGTATGACGAGATCATGCGGGTCTACAGCCAGGACTACGAGGTCCCAGAAGGATGGTGCCCCGATGACTGGCACGACCACCAGGACTTCATCGAGCTGATGCGCCAGGAGGTCGGCGACCTTGACGACGGCGTGATGGATGGAGACGTCACGGAGGATGTCAACTACACGGAGGAGATCCTTCTTGCCGAGCCCCGCCTGAAGAAGCGGACGACCAGCAAAAAGGGCGAAGCTGGACGCCATGTCGGCCTCCCTCGACGGTGACAACTGGAGAACCATGCGGTTGCTGTCCGGGAAGTCGTGCGGCCGCGCCTGGATGAAGCAAGTGTTCGCCGAGATGGGCCTCTCGCTCCTCTGCGTCTATGCTGGCATGCTGATTGGCGCCCCGCTCGACATCAACATCGCCGACTGGGGCGGCTCCACCAAGAAGGGGCTCCAGCGCGTGAACAACGACCTGCAGCAGGAGGACCCGTGCCTGCTTGTGATCACCCATCCCTGCTCACCTTGGGGTGCCTGGTCCAGGTTCAACTTGGCCCGCAGCGGCGCTGCAGAGATGACAGTCCTGGAGGCCAGGGCAGAGAGCAGAAAGATCCTGGTCAACGTGAACCGTCTTGTTCGCAACCGCCGGGCCAAGAGACACGTCTTCATCGAGCAGCCCCGCGACTCTGAGTGGTTGCTGCAGCCCGAGACGGAGGACATTCAGCGCCTCCTGAGCGACGGCGTCCTCATCAAGGTGATTGCGGATGGCCGTCAGCTCGGGTACTGCGATAAGGAGACCGGCGCACAGCGTTGCAAGCCGACTTCCTTCATCACCTCCATGTTTGTGGCTGAGTCTGTCTCGGGGTGCCTTTGCCCGCGCGACCACTGGCATCAGCGCTTGGAGGGCAGCAACAAGTACGGCCGCAGGACTTTACAGGCGGCGACTTGGCCCGACGAGCTCAACCGCAAGGTCTTGGGCGTGATGCTCCAGCAGTCTGTCGTCGAGGCTACCTCCATGGAGAACGCCAAGGAGGTCTTTCCGCTCGAGCAGGGGGAAGGATGAGTGTGCTGAGAGAGGAGCGTGGCGCGTTTCCAGTCTACATGCGGCCAGACCTCCAGTTCGACAATGCCCTGCCTGTACCTGGCGCGGAGTTCATCGGCCTCGACCAGAGAGACGTTGAAGTCGCACCTGGTGACAACAGCTCTGCTAGGGCAGCTCAGGCCGCTCGCCTCGAACCTGTGTTGAGCATCACCGAGGCAGACCGGAGACAAAAGTGGCAGGTGTCGGCTGACATCAGGACGGTTCTACGAGACCTTCACGTGCAGTTCGGCCACCCGACAACCACGACCATGATGCGCATCCTTCGGAGGATGAATGCCAAGCCGGAGGTCATCTATGCTGCCCAGTTGACAGCTGCGGCGAATCAATACGGAGGCGTAGGCCAAAGCCGACAAGGCTACCCAGTAAATACGTCTTCAACCGCCACCTCCTCCTGGATACCTTCTATGCCAAGGACGTCAAGTTGACCTTGTACTCCTTCTTGAACATTGTCGACGATGCGACCGGCTTCCAGGTGGTCTGTGTCTTGGAACAACAGCGCTTTATCGCGAGCTGGAGCAGCTGGGCCGGGCTTCCTCAGAGCCTGCAGGTGGACCAGGGAAAGGAGTATCTTTCAGCCTTCGCCATAAGGCTCCCTGGATCCTTGCTCAGCAGTCCTGAACGAGATCAGTTGGAAGTGCTCGAGGCGGCGACCCAAGGAGCGCCGTGGCCCGAAGCTTGGGGATCCGTGAGGCTGCTCGAGTTGCGCAAGTTCGCCTCGATACCGATGGGCGAGTGAGGCGTGCGCTCCTACCCGCCCTTTTCCGGTGGGATCGTACGTGTACTTTTACAGGATGCAGTCACAGCCGGCCAGTCAAGGAACTTCAAGTGGCACGGCCCCGCAAGGGTCATGGGAGTGGGCTGAGGAACCACCGGCGGCTTGAAGATGCCCGCCCACTGATGCTGGACAGCCCCGCTCGTACTGGCTGCGTTATGGACCAAGTGTTGTGCTGGTGACTGGCGAGCAGCTCCGGTTCGCCTCTGAGGATGAGCTCCTGGCGGCGCACTCCGTTCCCTAACAGGCCTTGGAACCTCCTTATGCAAGGGAGCTCCTAGCCTCATGGCGCCGCAAGCAGAGCCCGGACCTCAACCACATCCACCACAAGAACCTCAACGGCAAGAGCATGCAGTGGACCCGCGCCTTCGGCCATGGCCTCAGGGCAGGCGTCATACATTCCTGGGACCGATCTGCCGGTCATACCAGAGGCTCTTCCGCCTCTCCCTGCCGAACCACCACTTGATGACCTACAGCCGCAACTTTTGGAAGGAGCAGGTCAAGACGAAAGGACGGGCGCTGGCGACAGGGCAGCCGGCCGATGTCACCATGTCGAGGAGGACATCCGAGATTGAGCCAGACCCGCAGCCTAACGCCGCAGCTTCCAGTTCCTCTACGCCACTCGGACGAGCTTTGGCAACCTCCTCAACTACGACTGCTATACCTATGGCTGCCCTCGAACCTCCTGTACCTCAAGTACCTGCGCTACCTCCACAACCAGCGGCGCATGGACTACCTCCACCACCAGCGCCGCATGTGCTACATCCTCCACCTCCAGCTGCCACCGCAAATCCTATGAGAGACCCAGACAGACTGGATGGATACCACCCAGTCGGGCGGAGCAGGCGGACCGACACTTAGACGCCCTACCTCGCCGAGCAGACGCACTTCCTCAACGAGATTGCTAATCTCTGGAGCTGCCCAGATCTTCCTCAACGCCTGATCGAGCATAATCTCCGGCGGATGGCCGGCGACGAGGGCTACGCTGACTCGAGCGACTATGTGTCGGAGAACGACGAGGAGGAGATGATGTGCCAGACTCCTGCAGACGCCTTTCTGACAGGCAAAGCGGTTAAAAGCGAGATCAAGTTGAAGGGCCTGGGCGCCGAGGACCGCAAGAAGTTTGATGCCAGCGTGGCAAAAGAATGGGACTCCTGGCAGAAGTTCAGTGCCGTGGAGAAGTTGGACGAGGAGATCATCATTGGGACAAGGTGGGTCCACACGGACAAGAACGCCAAGCCGCGCCTCCTCGCCAACTACCTTCGCAAGCGCGCTGGGAAGACCGAATCCCAAATCGAACGTGATTATCCCTTCGAGGCGAAGTCACGTCTTGTGGTCCAGGGCTGTCAGGAGGAGTCACGCAACACACGCTCGGACTCTCCTACGGCATCCCTGCTTCTGTTCAACTTGGTCTGCTGCATCGCTCAACTGCCTACCTACAAAGCCAAGGCATAAGTCGCTTGCTTATCCTTCGGCCACCTCTGCCACCACCTCCAGGAATTTCTCCCTTTGACTTGTTCCGTGCCAAGGGCTCGATCTATGGAACAAAGGATGCTGGGAGAAGCTGGTGGCGTAAATAATATTGGCGCACAGTCCGAAAATATGGATGGGTCATGTCGAAGATCGAGGCAGCCTTCTTCTACCTCGCGGAAGGCAGCTACCTCATCGGCGTCATGCTGTCCCATGTCGACGACCTGTTCAGCGCCGGGGAAGGAAAGAAGTACGACGACACCATCAAGGCCCTCGAGAAGGAACTGCGTCTCAAGGTCAAGCAAGGTGAGTTTGGTCCAGACAGGGTGCGATCGAGCTCGACCAGTACGACGCCATTGAGGGCGTCAGCTACATGGTTACATGGAGATCAGCAAGGACCGTCGCAAGCAAGTCAATGCCGAGCTGAACGACAACGAGAAAACCCAGTTCCGTGGCCTCATCGGACAAATGGGTTGGATCACTCGGCAGTCCAGGCCCGACCTCATGGTGAACGTCAGCATGGCTGCACAGTCTATGGGAAGTCCAAAGATAAAGGACGTCGTCAACCTCAACAAGGCGGTCGGTCAAGATGCTGAAGGATACCTCCGGCGCAAAATGGAGATTCACGCCATCTGACCTGGCCCTGGAGGACGCGACGGTGTTCTGTTTCGCCGACAGCAGCTTCGCGAATGTCGAGAGGCAGAAATCCCAGTGCGGCTACGTCATCGGCCTCACCAAGAAGGAGATCCTGGATGGCGGCGAGGTCCCGATCTACATCGTCGAGACCTACTCCGGAAGCATAAAGCGTGTTGGCCGCTCTACCCTTGCGGCAGAGAGCAATGGTTTCCTCACTGGCGTCGAGTCGGCCGAGTACCTCAGGTCTTTAATCCTTGAGCTGCTTCATCCTGGAGTTCTTCTTCGTGATCTCGATGCGCACTACCGAAAGGGCAAGCTTGTCTGCGTCACAGATGCGAAGAGCCTGGAGGCCACCCTGAACCGGGACACCGGCGCTCCACAGGACAAGCGTGTGCGCATCCTCGTAGCACAGATCAGGGAGATGATTGGAGAGAACAATTTCGAGGACGAAGCAGAGAGCGCCTTCGCACACTGGTGCGACACCTCGCAGATGCTTGCGGATGTTTTGACCAAGATCGGGTGCGAACGAGCACCTCTCCTCCAGGCCTTGCACTCCGGCCGTTGGCAGCTGGAACCGAGCGAGGAGGCCCTTCTCAAGAAGATGTCCATTCGCGCTGGCCGTCATGCGAGGAAAGCCCTTGCCCGTAGTAAGGACGGGTGAGAATCTGTCACCTTAGGTGTAGATTGGAAGGCATGCACTCCAGCTGTGTATGTGTGCCTGACCCGCGGCTACTACAGTGCAAGGGCGCCCTTAGTGCAAAAGATAGGGTACCGCGCTTGCTGCGCGCTGCTTGTGGCATTTTGATTGGATGAAACAAGGATCACTCATTACCAAGTTCATCTTGATGAGGCAAGTGGTACATGACAGGAGACAACTCCCAAGTTGGAAGCTGCAACGACAAATCATCACAAGTACCAGGAACGGACAAGTCATTGAACGCAACACAACCATCAAGCTTGCCTTCAAGTGACACATCCGGACAAGGTGGCGCAACCAAGCAAGACAAAGTGCCAGCAAACATGCTTCCAAGTGTAAATGTTGCAATGGCACCTTGGCGCTCCTTTGCAGTGGCTTTTGCCATTGCCTTTGACGTGGGAACAGGCTCCAAAGGTTACTGCAGTCACTGGGGCTCCTGAAGTTGCTTTTGGCTCAGAAGCCACCGGTGTAGCGGGGGAATTAGCCTTCTCAACACCAGGAGGCTGAGCAACATTCCAAGAAGTATCTGTCCAAGCATCGCTCCAACCATCATTCCAAGTCGACCACCGCCAATCATCACACCAGGTTCCATCACCAAACACAGCTGCGACCAAGTCACAAGACCACCAGTCCTCAGACCAAGTATCTGAGGACCAATCATCCTCATACCAACCTTGTTCACCAAGTTCCTCACCTTCAAGTGGCGCATTGTCATCAAGTGCGCTGGCACTGCCCGAAGGGCACTGCGACACAACATGGCCGCTCTTTCCGCAAGTCCAACAAACCAAAGCATGCTGACAGCGAAGTTTCGATTTTTCTCCTTTGCTTTTCCTTTTGCCATTGCCGCGCCATGAAAGTTCACATGGGCATTCTTTCCTTGAACAAAGCCGATGCTTTAGAGTCCCTAGAGGGTCAGAAGACCACAACTTTTTGTTTTTTCTTCTCGGCTTTTATTGGGACAGCGCAGCATTTTTGAGTTTTCTTTGGCTTTGTTGGGACCTCGCCATCTTCGTCATTGCTGCAGGATCTCCAGAAATATTTGGAAAAGTCTGAGGCGAGCGGTGGTAAGTCTGTTACAACTTCTTCTGGTCTCTTTCGGCAAATTTATTTCTGTTCCCGCTCACCGGTTTTACAAGCGGGCTTGGCCACCTTACAGGGTCATGGCTGAACGTGAACGGACTCGTCAAACAATCTCAGCAATCTCGACACCATCAGACGCAAGTATCCGTGAGCAAAGCAAGTTGGAAAGTAGACCGCTGAGGCGGTGTGTCTTCAGCGGGCAATCTGCGCAATGCGGCGCAAAGACCGCCGCAGCGGCCAGGTGCAGGTGAGTCGAGCAGCAATGCCCCGAGTCTTTCTACATACACAGCTCCTTTGTCATATTCTTTCAATGCCATTTTGCTTCTCCCAGCACAAGGTGAGGAGGAGGACTCTGAAAGTGAGGACTTGCAGCCTCAGCTTGTTGCTCAGCCTGGAATGCGAAACTGTCGTCCCGCATGCCTGTACCGGACCTGCAGTGAAGGCCAAAACGACATCCGGCTGGCGGCACGGGGCCCAGGAGGATGTGGGTCAGACTTTGCCTACGTTCCTCATGACGTGTGCCATGACATTGCTTGAGGTCGACCTGCGCAAGCAGACGCAGACTTCATTGAGAGTGATGAGGTGTAGGAAATTGTTGGCTGGATTTGCGAGCCACAAGGCCTTTGTTGAGTCATCTTCACTCTTTACCAAGACTAGGTAGGGTATTCCAGGCTTGCCGAGTGACTTCCTGGACTCCAAATGGAGTCGTTCCTCGATAATGCTTCGCGATCGGCAGATGATCGCTTTGAACCATTGGGTCGATGCCAAGACCCGAAAAAAGAGCAGCTGCTGATTTTTCCTGACAGCACGTCGCACTGAGATCGACCCAGCCAGGATCTTTATCAGGTATCATAACTTGAGGTTTGCGAGATCGTTTGGTCAATGTTAACTTATGTACAGACAGGCTTCCCCACCCCTGCGCAACAAGCATGCCTGCGGATCTTTGATTAGACACGTGCTGATTATTTTTGGCTGCTCCGCTGCCAATACAATCGACCGCTGGTGAGCATGACTTTTTTTACGCACTAAGTCTACAGAGTAATGGCTGAGGGTGGATGACGGTATTTGGAGTTCGCAGTTGCGGCAGAGAGGGGTTCCTTATAACATCAAGCATGTCTAGTCAAGTCGCTTTGCAGCATGCGAGTCCAGCAGCGGCTTGTGTGAATGACTACACTTCTACTTGATAGTGCCTCTCCTCAGCCCTGCTTTTTGGCTGGACTTTGTGTGGACCTGGCCAGGCATGACCTCGTTTCAGTGCCCGCTTTCGCGGCGGCATCCTCGCTTTCCTGGAACTTGTTTTCGCGCCTTCGAAGTTTATCTATAAGCCGTACACTCTAGAAGGAGGAGGTTTGTGCCTGTGTGTGAGTAGGGGAAGCGGCAGAAAGGGAGGTGAGGTAACTAACTCTGACTAGAGCCAGGAGCTTCTGTCAGAAGACTATCCGTGTCATACTCATGGCGTGCCTTTCTGCTCAAAGATAGGAACATGAGATTGGTAGAGATTTCAGTGGCAATGACGCGGATTTCTTTTTTCCAATGCATCTAAAACTCACACATGGTCACTCGAATGGCATGAAACCATATGCATGGCCATTGCCAATCATGGTAGCGAACAGTCAAGCTACACTGTTTATCTTCTTTTCGCAATGCATCTGCCGGTCAGTGAGCCCCAGACTTACAAGAGATTCGCGTGCCAATGGTGTTCAAAATCTTATTTGAGGACATAGCATGCAGAGGCTATGCTGGAGGCCTGGGATTGGTTCACGGGTTGCTTCCAGAGAAAGACTGCGGAGAGTGCAGGAGAAGGCGGAGGCCCGCAGCTACTTCGAGGAGTGACGGTGAAATCACGACATTCCGTTTTTTGCAATCGCCGGCTCGAACCTGAACCTTAATCGCCTAGACGAAAAGATGTCACGAAAGCTCCGCGAAAGGGAACTTCGTTTATTACCTCACAAAGTGAGCCTGGGATGCTGGGTGGGTGTGTGTGGGTGGGGGGAATCTTTTGTCTGGCTTTTTGATGATTTTGAGGGGTTCTTGGGGGTCTTGGAGGTTTCTTGGAGTTTTTTTTTTTGGAGTTTTGGTAGGAGGGTTGCAGTTCTTTTCATGGGCAGTGAGAGCTGAGCTGCGCGCTCTTCTGGTTGTACCGTCTCTTCACGTCCTGTGTCACCACTCCTGTCCATTATTGAGCTTTCGTCCCGGCCTGTGGATGCGAACGTTGGCTCCAAGATCACATTTTGATGATCATAATCCCTCACTTATGGGCTGGCGAAATAGAGCATGAGAAGCCGGAGTAGAGGCCTGTGCATCCAGACTATTAGACGTTGTTAAACAGGTGGCAAGATTGCGAAAAGCCACCGCCTTGACCGCTTGCTCAACGGGAAGACAAGGTTTCCACTGCCACCAAGTGCCCGGGATAGGGCCACACGCACCGGCTGCCCTCCATCCTCAATACTCGAGCTTCACAGGGAACAGAGATGCTGGCACAAGAGGGTGTTTGGGTCGTTTAGGCCTCAATGCTAAAGTGAGTCAGGCTTTTGATGCTGCGCACGAGTCTGCGCTGCAGTCAGGGAACTTGTGCAGAAACACTTGCTTCTGCATGTGCCTTTCCGCAGGAGTCAAGCTCTAGCGCTCCAGGAGATTTTGAGGATCTGGGGCCTGGGGGAAGCACTGACTGGTGATGTTCTGTCTGAAGCAACGAATCTGGAGAGGCCTTGGGCCGTGAGCAGGCCATAACCGAGGCACCCGTGCCTCAATTTACGGCGAGACTTGGGAAGATCTCATAAGATTAGGATCCTGAAAGGTTGACCGGGAAGTGGACATCAAGCCGCCAGGACACCTTGCCGTCGTGCTGGATTTGAAGGCTTCTAGAATCTTCTAGAGCTTTTAAGATGCCCTGCTCGGAGGCAAGCGTGCTTTTGTCAAGAGGAAGCCAGCGCCTGAGTGCCTGAGGGCCTGAGCGCTGTTGGCATTCAAGTTGTGTGTTCATTAAGTGCTCAGGGCAAAGCGCAGCGTCAAACCCAAGGTGGCAGTTTTTGCTGTGGACTTCCAAGCTGTCCAAAGTCACACCTCCGTACGTCGCTGCAGGATCCCGGATTGGAGGATGACAACGGAGGTGCAAAACTCACCGAGGCCAGAATTGTCAAAGGACAGACAAAGGACACAGACACCAGAAGCTGGACTCTGCAGGACAAGTCCAGACGCCGCGCGCAGCCATCTCAGAAATTTGAGCGCTTGAACGAGAAGTGATAGATGGGGATCTGAGGTCGGAGCCTGCTGCTTCTGAGCCTTGGGCGAGCCCAGTTCCAGGTGCATCTTGCTTTACGACAGACGCGCACCCCTCCTGAAAAAACGATTCTTATTATCATCATGCTTACAGGGATCCCAGTACGGGACCCTAGTTTTGTGAGTAATTTTGGCAACCTTCGCATTTTGTGGATGCAGGCCATTCTGCGCTGACTGCAGAGGTGCTGCTTGACAGTATCCAGTCCCATTCATGGCTCTGGCGTTCTGGTAGGCAGCACAGCTTCCGATCAAGCCGCAAGTGGCGCCGCCATGTTTCGCACGTTTCCGCGGTGTCTTCCTCTTGTTGGCGCTTTGCCCCACATGCCCGCCAAGAATTTTAGCGCTGTCCGTGGGCTGGGTGTTGCTGGGCAGAGACTTGTTTGAAGACCGCGTGAAAGCCAAGTGCCTGCCGTCCTGACCTCGACAGCTTTTCAATCAACCAATCCAGGCATGTGAGACGTGTAACATGTATCAACCCTGGGGCCGCTCGACGCCTTGTCACCCAAAGCACGTGCAAATGCGCGTGTGCGGGGTTGACGTGGTTTTCGAAAGCTATTTTAAGGTCTGCTTTCCCTTGCCCTGGCATCAGGCTATACACGGGGGAGCCACAAACGGAGGTAATGGAAGTGTAGAGATTCGAGGATCCCGGCAGGGAGCAGCCGTCACCGGAGACTAGGCCACGAGGCTCCCGGTTCGACACAGGCCGCAGGCCATCGAAACTTGTGTTTGGAGGCGAGAAACGTATGACATGACACTGGCATGCAGGGCTTCTTGGGGCTAAATGCTACACGATGAGTTGTCCAACGGTTTAAAGTGAGTTCATGGTGTTGAGTGGCTTCAAACCCCTTGGGCCGAGTTTTGCGGGAGTTGTTCTGCCAGTTTCTTCTTGAAGAGCTGGGCTGCCAGCCTTGAAGCCGCAGAATGCCGCAGATCATAGGCCCGGCTTTCCCGACCCTTGCGCATGTGTGCGCTGACTGTATTAGCTCAAGCCCCCGAATTCCTCCTGCTTTGGCTGTATGTCCGTACTGTGCCCGTGTCCGATACAGTTTGTTTCGTCTAGCAAAGGGCTTGAAGTTCTACCTTCAGAGACCCTTTTCTCCTCCCCACAGCCAGCCCTTGCCGCACAGCGTGCCCCTCTGATGCTCGAAGCTGTGCTGTGTTCAAGACTCAAGACGTCATCTGCAGCTCATGTCATATCAGCCCGTGTCGTGTGCACTTGCCGAAACCACTACGATTTAGCAGGTGCAGCCATTTGTATGAGATGTGTTGAAGCAGGCTTGTTGATGCTAGTCAGTCGGCAGAGACAGGGTTGTCTGTCGACTTTGGACCATGATGTTTTTGTGTTTTGGTCTTTGCCAGGATGAAAGCTCCTCCAAGGACGGCAGCAACTGACTCCCTACCATTCCACTCCCGCTTGCTGCTTCATCTACTTCGCTTGCTTGCCAAGTTGTACAGGAAGTGGCGCCCCTCTCAGATGAGTGCAGCACAGAGGCGGGTCGAGACGGAAATCCTCCGCATTGATGTTGCGTCATGTTGCCTGACTCTGCAGGCGTCACCTGCTGGCGAGAACTTGAATGAGAACCTGCTCCAGCTCTTCCAGGCATGGTTTCTTGACATGAGTTATTGTTCGTGTTTCGCAGGAGCCACTGCCTCAATGCCCGTGAGGCAGAGAAAGTCCCGAAGCACTCTGTGCTAAAGACGCTGCTGCAGAGGAGTCCAGGGCTCAGGAACTTCACCAGTCAATGCCAAGTTCTTGCTGCAGCTAAGAGTAACAAAGCTAACCATAGCTAAGCTAAATCTCCCAGGAGCGGACCCAAACCATCGTTTTATCTCGCGCTTCAAGCTGCACAACGTGGAATTCGCAGTTGGGCCCGTGGTTTTTCGGTGACAGCAACCACCGCAGTTCTTGGTGCATGGGCATCTGCGAATCGCCGTTTGACGCATTAAGGAAGGCTGTCCACTGCAATTCGGTGTCACGTCTGGTGCAGCGGGCTCAGAAATCCAGATTCCCGATTAACTAATTGATGTGACAACTAGAAGGGGCGCCCAAAATGCTCGTCATCTTCCCCGATACTACGTGCCAGTACTAGCTGCCAAAAAACATGGTTTTGTCCGGGTTGTTAATTGATTATGTCATGGAAGGACTTTTGTAACTACAGGGGGCGTACTAACCTGTGGTGAGCTTTCTCTTCCGCCGAGCGCCCAGGATCGCCATGTCGTGCAGCTCTTGATAGAGCATGCCCCTTATTCGGAGTTCTTGGAGCATCCTTTCTGCTCAGAAGGCAAAAGTTGGCCTGCCAGGCATCGAGGTGACATTCACCACTCCCGCTATAGCAAGCAGGCTGGAGTTGGTGCAGCCCTTAATGGCTATGGCTTCAGCCTGTGTTGTGCCCCCGGTTTGCAAGCAGCTTCGTTCCAAGGCGGCAAGGTGTGGAGCGGCGATGCTCCCTTTGCCGCTTTGCCATCAGCAGCTTGGGAGCAAGCTCTGCTCAAAGTCACTTCAGTCCTGGATGGATGCATCTTCGGCATGACTCGATTCATGCAAGATACCAATAGTCGGTTTGGTTTGGAACACGAGCTGTGCATGCAGCCATTTTTTCTTGAGACAGCATTCGACCTTCAGAACTTGGAGCTACGAGCGAAATTGATCCTGGAAACCTAGCGCAGCAGAAGCTTATGGCATCAGATCCACCTCATGTGTTTCCAAATATTGGCTTTGGACCCCAGGTGCGTGACTCATTGAGCGAGACCACGAAACCTCGTCAGCTAAGGATAGCGTTGACATGCTGACTTTGCTTGCAGGGAGCCCTGTTTCTTTTGTTTCTGTGGCAAACTTCATTGGTGATGGTGTTGGCTAAGGTTGAAAGCCACAGCGTATCGCCAGACCTGGGCTCAACCGTAGGCGAGCCTCACAGAGCGCCAACAGCATGCGCGTTTTCTAAGCCTGCCCTTTGGGCCGCGTGCTGTGGCCTTGTCAGGCGAGAAGAGGGGTGCTACGATGTCTGCGCCTGAGCACCTTCGCTTTGCAGATTTTTCGTCGACTGATGCAGCCGAAGCTCTGCACATCTCCCGCAGTGCTTTGGAGAGTTTCACTGAATCTTGGCCAACACCTGTTGGAAAGCAGGTGCAGCATCTTGAGCGATATGTCTGTGCATGTTCTAGTAGTGCACTGCGGGGAAGTTGGCAATATGAGTGTTTGAAGCTGAGGGTCTTCTGCGGAAGTATTTGAAATCGACAGGCTACCAAGGAGATATAAAAGTCGGCAAGCGAATGCTGCCTTGACTCTGCAAGCTTGTAGAGAGGGCGGGTGAGGGCTTATTGACAGCAGTAAATCAAAGCAGCTGTGATTACTGACAAGGGCCAGCAAGTTGTCAAATCCAGCAAAAATGGAATTTGAAGCCATGCAGATTCTTCACGATTTCCTGTGCGGGAGGGCTGAACGTGAGTCCTGCAGAGCATAGAGATGGAAGCCAAAGACTCGCCGGAAATTGAGGCTGTGGAACGCATCCTATTTTGGTGCTGTCCGATGCACACGCTACTTGCTGGAAGCGTGCTCTTGGCAAAGTTGAACTAGAAAGAAGCTGAAGTGCGAGTTCGAGTACACATGTCAGGAAAGCATCGGTTGACGAGGCAGCTCCATGGCAGGCCAGCACGGGAGGTGGTCAGGTGGTGGGTATGGGATGTGCTCCTGCCCAAAAGCTCCTGGCAGGACAACACGGCTTTGCACTATACGCCCCTGCACGTGGCCGCAAGGCAGGCTGTGCCAAAGGAGCGCAGTGTGTCTACTTGACAAAGACCTGCAGGGCTGGAAATGAGAAATGCTGCCAGCTGCTTTTGCAAGCTGCTGCAGACATGAATGGACGCTGCCAGGCCTGGTTCAATAAATAAAAGGCTAAGGTGTGCAGAGTGTTGCCGTTTGCAGCAGCCTCACGGCACTGCCAGGTGAAGATAACTGAATGCCAAGGAAGGATTCTGTGACTGCCCCGGAGGTCACTAAGGTGCGATTCGCATTCAGGGCTGCTTCTGTGGTACTTTGATTCTAGGATAAGCGTAGATTTGCCGCCTAGGCATGGGGACTGGTATTTCACGCCACTGGATACTGCAATCGAGCCCCATCCTGAGTTTGTTTTTCTCAGCGCTGAAGAATGTTGGGAACTTGAGCCATGCTGGCGACAGAAGACTGAGGATGAGTCAGATTGCGGTGGTGAAGCTGCTTTTGGCCCAGAAGGCTGATCTAATTCGGAGCAAACAGGACTGGCTTCTTGAAGTACGAGCGAATTCCGCGGCGAATGTCTCTAGCATGTCTGGAAGACAGGAGGCGCCAGAGCACCTCACATCCTCTCAGGCCATGGCAGCGGCAGAGCACGGACATCATGCAAGCTATTGCGTCAGAAAGACTTGCTCAGGATAAGTTCCTCCGGGTGGATAGGCCTGACCGTTGTAGGCATGTGCTGTTGAGAAGCTCAGCTGCTGGAGCGCTGAGATACAACTACGCCTTGCAGAGCCTCCTGAGCAGCGGAAACAGCCGGGTCATCTCTGAAGTGGCTGCCGCTCTTCAAGCCAGCGACTTAAGCATGTGTTCCATTGCAAGGCTGATGTCTCGCAATGTTTGCAGGACACCCCTCAGCAAGTAGCTTGCTTGACGGTGGAGGACTTGAGCACTCACTTCATTGTCCCTAGCGGGCTCCTACAGCTCCCATTTGATCCCAGCACTTAGTTTTCCGGATCAGGGTCCAACAGCAGCTCTGGGAAGGCGGGCAGAAAAGGACACAAGCTTACAAAGCATTGACAGGCCTTCGCAATTCGCTCTTGGGTGGTATGTCTTCGCCTCCTCAGTGTCGCCCTGACTTGTGAAATGCACTGGCACAAAGCCAAAAACATGACCAACGTCACAAGCGGGGTCAGCTGATGTCAGCTGGGCTAGACCTTCAGTATTGCGCTATACGTACGCAGAAGAAGGAGCTGTCTTTGGGAAGGTCACCAAGCTGCAGGAGCAGGAGGAAGAACAACTGCAATAATGCGATAGATTGTGATGGGTTTGCGACCTCAGGAGGCCTAATCTCACCTCAGGAGGCCTAATCTCCACCTGTCCTGAGCAAAGGATGTTGAGCGTGGAGTCTAGGGGTGAATGCAGCCAGGAATGACGGGTGCAGTGCCAAAACAGCCGCCCACCTTGAATGTTCAGGATATGTTGTTGGAAGCTTCTCGCAGCTCAGTTTTATTTACAAGTGAGATTCGCATCCTGTTGTCTGTGAGGCGGTTCTAATGACATGTACTGTTAGGCTCTGGCCTTTCTTGGGGCTTCAGTAGGACCCTTACAAGGACGCTTGGGCAATATGGGGCTACCTAGGAACTGGGGGCCTATAAGGTGAGCATGGGATAGGGGCACCTGCAACGAAACGTCAATCCTTGAAACTCGATTGAAACTTCAAAAGCGCTCCGAACGTCGCAGGACATCGTGAGATTCTTGAAGACACCAGGCTCAGCTAGACGCTCTTTCTTCTGTGCAGCCAGCGACACTGCTTCTGGTGCAACACGAACGGTCGGGATCACACAGAGACTGATGCAGTTGGTAGATTTGAATGCTTTGGCATAGTCCTGCGTTGGTGGTGGGGGCCGTGGCAGGCAATGCGCCAGTCAATTTGATGAAGGCCTCACCGTTTGCATGATTTCTCTGTCGTAGGCTATGCAGCTCGTTCGAATATATTTGAATCCCAGAGTGGCATCAGCAGTCTCTGTTCTAGCAGGCACTCTTCTACCAGACGAGCCAAATCAAGTCTATTTCTCAGATTCAGGGACTCGCAAACACCCGTCTGTTGACCCAGGTCATTCAGTAGTCTCATCTGCCAGGTACTGGAAGCCGGCTGAGCAAACGACTTTTCGAGGGGCAGGCCACTGTTCCCGGCCAGCTTCAACTGAGATGTGGTTTCAGCACACACGCCAAGGCGGTTTTGATTGCGTGACACAGCTTTCGACCAGCAAAGCAGCCCACGCTGCAGAAGACTAGCTAGCCACATTTCTTTTCGTGCCCTCCTAACATTACCGTGTCTTGACATGCATACCCTTTGCCAGCTGGTGCAGGCAAGTATGATGAGTACTTCCGCGCAGGACTTGGATATGCGTGCTTTCATGTTGGGAAGATTGGCATCTCACATCACAATAAAACTTTTGCGAGGCCATGCAAGTGCAAGGCCCGTAAAATGTAACAGAAATTTCCAGCTTGAAGTTCAGGTCCGGAGTACATCATGAATGTCAAGCAGAGCGACACCCGAATCTCGACCCATTGGCTGCGTTGCTGTGCTCATGTCTGCACTGTTGCGCGTTCTCCATCTCCGAGGAGTGTACGCCCAATCAGCATGCGGCTGAGACGCTGTGATGTTGTCGCACATTCGGATTGAATGCTGTAGCGTATCAGCATCCTGCAACACGAGGCCAACATTCGCAAGATCCTGGTGTATGGTAAGGCTGGCCATGTGCTTTGCCTTTTTGCAGTTTATCAGGACGCAAAGCATTATGTGTCCTGACCTTACAGGTCCAGCATGTCATCAACTTCACTGAAGGGCCTTCGAGGGATGATGTGGACAAACACTGGAAAGATCGAAGAGTGCTGCGGGTGCGCCACAAGCCGTCTGTTCATGCAAGGACATGTAAGTGCAATTCGGATTGAAATCAGGATCAGATTCCGCAATTCGTTCAGAGGGTTGCCCCTCAGCCGCAGAAGGCTCGGGTCGGGCAATTCAGTTCCACAGTGGACCAGTCTGAACTTGACATCATGGAGGCATCGGCTTGTTCCAGCTTTGCAAGCCTTTTCCGGGAGAGTTTGTGTCTCAGAATGGTGTTAAAACAGGCTCGCAACAGTCTTTGCTCAGACAAGCTCAGCAAAGATTCACAGTGATTGCTACGAAATCTATGAACGTGTCACGTTCGGCGGCGAACCGCAAGATCTTTTGGACATATTGGACAGCTAAGGTGTGTACTTACCCGTCAACTTCTTTGCATCTCGACTGGAGATGTCTGTGGCGCATGCATCTACGGCTTCTCAAGAATGAAAGGCCTGTCTTGTGGCCAACTTGCACCAAAGTGAGGATGCCACGCTCCCAGAGCAGTTCCTTCCAACACATGTCTCGGTATTGCACATCTGTTTCGGATGATGACATGTTGACGTGCCAAGGTCTTGCTTGCTATTGCAAGCTGTCCCAATCAGGACAAGAGGGACAAGAGCAGAATACATCCTTCGAGTCTCCTTGTTCTGCGGCCAACTATTAAATTCTCCATGATAGCCAGGAAATCTTCCGGCTGCGTGAGTGTGAAGCAATAGTGCCTCAACCTCAACTGCCAGCGCAAGCCCTTTACCCTTTACCGTCACCCTGGCGACGATGCGTTTGAAGTCTCGCGTTGCAGAGGGATTTCTGCGGCTAAATATTGTTGGCACTTCTGCCCGCTTTTGTATCGTGAACTTCACAGGTCCTTCAATTGGACGACAGTCAGATACATTCACCTCATGGACTTGGCCATCCAGGCTGACTTTTGTGCTCCAGCCACGCTCCCCGCGCTCATTTGTTGGATTTTTGCTTGTCTTGACGTTTAGGCAGCTACGTCGCTGTTGCTACTGTTCAGCATCTCAACGTTGCGTGATGAGGTGCGCATGAGAGCAGGCTGAGCAATCCTTGTTTATGATGACAGCAAGGGAGGAATGCAATTAGTAAACAACTACACGGGCAACGCAGAATCGCTATCAAAGTCGTTCTGAAAAAGAGGATGAATTAGGACCTACAGAACAGTATTTTTCAGAAGGGACCCTGACAGCTGCCAAAGAATAATTATACTGATACGGTTCATCTTCACATGCAAAGCTGTTGATCTTGGAAGCGGTACCCTGGCTCAAATCCTTCAGGTCCTATAGACTTCTTCGGAGGACATCCCAACTTGTCAGCAGCAGCCCATCCGCGCAGAAGACACCTTCAGAGATGTCTCCAAAATCCAAGAAATGTGCTCCTGCCACCTCAACTCTATTTGTAATTATGATTCTGAAAGAGCCGACTTGACGTTGGCAGTGCTGATCTTCATCGCCGACTTTTCTTTTTTTGCGCCAGCGTATATCTACTCATGCGAATGACTCTTCAGGTAGCCGGTTTGAAGGGATCGTTCGCAAGAAAGGGTCTGAATTCAGCCTTGTGAGCGACGAGAATTTGATCCACAACATGCTTCCCGTCATTTAAGTATCAGGAAAGTCAGCTCAAGTCTACACTAGCTCTCTTCAAAAAATGGCGTTGGTGTGCCTTCGCTTGTGCGCAGCGCTCCCAGGAGCAGGACTTCATGAGACAGTTGCCATTGAAGAACGCTGAAGCTGAACAATATGCTCGCGTATCCTCACTTCCTAGCCGGTCAGGCGCTTGTGGACACATGCACACGTCGGGATGTGACGCTTCAGCTTTCCAGTGTCTTTGCCATCATGCGCGTGCTGGTTGGATTACGCGTACTTTTTTTTGCTGCGAAGCATGCTGAAGGCTGCAGATGACACATTTTTGTATGAAGTCGTGGGTTGCCTTGAGGGTCAGAGCTCGCCTCGCCGTCAACAGATGTCTGTCGCCAACTGGACATGCTACGTGCTAAGCTCTTTCCAGAGTTTGCCTTAGCTCAATGTAAGTCCTAATGCAATTCATGAGATAAGTTGGCTTTTTCCATTCAGGTCATCTCATGGTCATCAGTTGGTTGATTGACACGCCTCGAATGTTTCACCACCATGGGATGTTCTTTGTTGCTAGCTGGGAGAGTTCCATTGGCCTTGATGTGTTGCAGATGCGTCAGAATGTTCTGGCTTCTGACTGTCTCGACGAGCAATCTTTGGATAGTGGCCTGGTGTCCTGGAGCGTTCCAATTTGGCAGGCGCCAGAGTGGTGTGCCAACCTTCCCTGGTTTGTTTGGCACCCAAACACTTCGCATCACTTGGGCCCGGTCCTGTGCCTCAGCCTGCTGAGGCTTTGACGGGTCTCCCTTTCGTGATGGTCACCGTCATCATGAGGTTCTGCGAGGCGACTGGCCAGGAGTTAGGTCTGTGCTGACACCTGCAGATTACCTGCTTTAGCTTTCTGAGGTGCTCGGCAATAAAATGAGGGAACTCTGGGAGATCTACACAGAGGCCCTGCAGAGTCTGCACAGTCACGCTTCACGGGATTGCGTCTCTCCCGTATCTAGGCTGTGGAGCTGATCCTGGCGATAGCCACGATGGTCTTGTTTATTGTCAGGGCCTTGGCTCAGATGTTCTTCGGCTTCGGCATCTCACCTGGGTGACACTCAGATCTTCATGATCCCGCCGAGCAGCGGGGTGCTGACATGCGCGGATCGAGGGGTGGCTGCGCACCTAGAAAGGTTGAGCTATGATTCCATGCTTCATCGCCTGTTTGCCAGCTCTGATAGTCACCCAAGGTGGATCACCTTTCAATGCGGGCAGCAATAATTGTAGTCAGCTCTTTGCGACTGATGCACAACATCGACATGCTGCCCGGGGCATAGTGGTTTTGTAGCAGACCGGCCAAAACGGCAATTTTTGAGCTGCGACGCGATTTATGCCTTTGATGAACTTGGGATGTGCCGAGGAGGCTAGCATTCTCGGAGGTGAACATGATCGTGACTCCAATCATCTCTGCTTTAGCTCGGTCCCTTCCGCGGGGTGGCTCAGTTGCTTCACAAGTGCCATGTCACAACATTGGCACATCACGTGGTTTCCCATCAAAGCGTGCAAACGAAGCCAAGGGGCCATGCTACTCATTTCAAAACGAGGGCTTTTTTGTTGAGCGCTGGTCTTGGGTTTACAGATGGGGGCGGGGGGCTGCGCACCCCCAACGCCCCTGTTTTTTTGGATGTGCAACCCTGCAGGAAGTGTTGCAAAACCCATATTTATCCTGCTACGACCTGGTCTACGAGCGTTGTGTTTGCAAATCAAGGAGGCCTCTCCCGCCAATCCACCCATCTTTTTAAGTCGTGCAACCCTGCAAGAATGGCTGCAAGACTGCCGCTACCATTATTCTAGCTGTATGATTACTGTTGTATTTGATTGTCTTCTTTGTTCTTTGAAATTGTAGCATTACATTATTGCTGATGTTCTACGTATTGTTTCAAGTGTATCACATTATCACTATTCTACGACATTCATACGGCTATTACGATTATCACTACCAATCTTTCACTGTGCTTATTACGCTTATCCTGTTGTTATTGCTGTGATTATTCGTATTTCTTGTTCTATTGCTTTTTTTTCATTACGCTATCATTATGGTTATGGTTTTCATTGTGTTGTTCGTAGTATTACTTGTACTTACACAGCATCATGTCTTATTATTAATGGTTGTCTTCGTGCTATGAATCCTGTTAATACTAAGCTGGGGAAATCGAGCTCTGGCGTGGAGCGTCTTACTATTCGTTGTCTCATGAACATTCTTATTGCTATTCGGCATATTTCTCTCACTACAATTATTTCTGCATGGGCATCGTCCGAAGACTCCATGTGGAGCTTTTCATATAAAAAGACCACGGCTGGCTTAGAAGGCCTTCCGCGAAAGGTCGCGATGGTGCTCGCGAAGGGAACTTTGGATTTCGCCAAAGAAGTATCGACATGCTTCCGCGAAAGCTCGCGATGGTGTGTGCGAAAGGAACTTTGGGTCATTCTGTTGTGAGGGTAATATTGGCAAAAACCCGTATACTTCTATTACTACTGACCTGGGGAAGTCGAACTCTCACGTGGAGTGGCTTCACATTCCAAATCGTGGAGCGTCTTCACTCTTTTGCGCGAAAGTATGCACTGGCGTGGAGTCCTCACATTTTTGCTGAAATGGAGGGAGCGTCCTCGCATTTTTGCTGAGAAGCAAGCTCGTGCGAGCGTTCTCACACTTTTGCCTCGACATTGATCTCTCGCTTGAAGCCCAAAAGGGCAACAAGGAAGAAACAGAAAAGGGAGCAGAAAAAAGGGAATAAGAAACACACTCGACCCCCAAAAGTCAGCATCCAGATACGTCATGTAGTGTCTGCCTACAGGGCTGTATCGAGATTGTGGTTATTAGTGGCAGGAAGAGTCATGCGTTCCATGGCAGATGAGCTTTGACGCGGCTTGGTACCGGTGCAAGCAAACTGTCAACCTGAGACACCTAGCACCAAGACTTTCCTGATGGTGGTTGTGTGCGTTAGCACACTCGTGTGCGCTGCAACATTGAGCAATTGAGTGCTCACCGCAGCCGCTTGATTGCTCATACCGGATCCACCCGCCCAACCCAGGCGGTTGATCTGCATACGCATACAGGCCCGATCCTTGCCCTTCGCCTGAGGGCGAACAACATCCTTTACTGAGACCAAGGGTCGGCCTCTACGCCCAGCTCCGGGTCGGCTGGAGCAGGAGTGCTCTTGGATACTTGGGGCGTCTGAGGACGCCCCCGGCCATAGGCACTGCACAAACAAAGTAGCGCCCGTGCACATTTTGGCATGTGAAGCACGCATGCAGTATGCTTAAGCCTTTTGTCCGTTTCGGGCAGAATTCAGCAAGAGAGCGGAGGTTTCCGCAGTGCACGGCGCAGAATACAAACTTCAGGTTTGGCTCACTGTCGCACATGTTTGGGAAGGCGTCAGCTTCATAGCCTGTTGGTCTTTTTCTAATCTCTAGGTAAGCCGAGTTGCATTGATTGAGCCTCTCCCCGTTCTGGCTGCGTGTCTGTCTCTCCGTCTCTGCATCTTCTGTCTGTCTCTCTCTCCCTCTCTGCCAAGGTTTTGTATAGCCGTGATCTACTTCGCACGGGCCTGGGAGTGATCCAGTATGCTACATGACCTGTCAGATGTTGCAGACCCCCGGCTTGTCATTCGCCGCTCATTATGCTTACACTTCGAAGCGCTCAGGCTTTCATCATGTGGCAAGCGTACTGGACTCTGGATGTGGAAGAGTGGCAGAATGGCTGGAAGGCTCTTATTTGTGAGCGATGCAGTGGCAGGATTCTTGTAGAAGGGATTGAAGCTCCATGTAGGCAATCATCATCGCTTGGCGCTTCGCGGTCTTGGGTGACTTCGAGGTTGATGAGCTGGAAGGTCAAGAAGGCAGGGCGGTGAACAGCCTCAAAGTGCGGTTGTCATCTGGAATCCATCTGTGAGGCACCTGGCACGAGGCTGGCATGGATCTTGTCACAACCTGAGCAATCTGGCTTCACGAGAGGCCGCTGGAGGAGCAATGCTGACCTACGAGGATCCGGTTGCAGAATGCTGCGGCTGTAACAGTCGTCAGCAGTCTTGGAAGGATCCCGAGCTCACTGACAATTCTACAGTAGCTGCAGTCTCAGACTATCTTAGAATCTTTTTCAGCGTGTCAGCGCTGGATAGTGTCACAGCAGTGCAGTCTCAACTGGGACAACAGGTGCGCGGAGTCTTCATTGTGCTCTGTGGAATGATGTTCCCCGTGCTCATCATGAACATTTTGATCTCGGTCCTCAGTGTTACTTGTCAAAGAATAAATCCCTCAGCGATTAAATTGAGCTAGTTGATTTCAAGTTTCTTCAGAGAAGGGACTCTGGCGATAAAGCCAGAAGAACCTACAAAGGCACAATGTCTTGAGGACTTGAACAGATCGAAAGTCAACAACTCTTTGGATCCAGAGGCATGCGTTGGCTGTGTGCTGTGTCAGGTTTGGCTGGACTTCGCGATCAAAAATGTTACAATCTGAGCTGTTCAGCGACTGCTGGATCTGGACCCGATCTGACGTCAGAATTACTTTGGACCAGTGAGGTATGGTTGGACTTCCAGCGGGCAAGAGCCAGGAGGGTGCTGAAGTACAAGGCTTCTGTGGGACCATGTTGCCCTGCCCAAGACATTGTCGTGACCTCCCCTCCTCGTAAGGCGCTGATCAGACTGACGTGTAGATGCCATAAGCGAAAGGACGCCAGGGGGGTATACACTTGTTTGCTGCGGATGATTGATAGAGACTTCATGCTGGAGTTGAGGATACCTCTGCTCCGGATGCCCCCCAAGGCCTTCTTTGAGCAATGATGTGCGCGGCGCTTGCTCTGCCTGGCTACGCTGTGCTGTGCGCACATGGCCTTGCCAGATGCGAAAGCAAACGCGCTGTACATTTGGTTTTCTGCTCCTAAGGAGGAGGCCTGCCGCATTTCTTGATTTCTTTGCTCTAGTCCACAGCCATTGTTTGCGGATGGTCCTGCCATCGGCTACATCCTCGTTTGCTATGATGTCAGGAGATTCTGGAAAATGATGTTGCGCCTGGACTCAACCTGAAGTTCAAGGTGGGCGCAACAGTACTGCAAAGTCATACAGCAAAGTTGCATGCGGTAGAGCTGTCAGGAAGCCGCCGAAGGCGATCAAAGAATTGAGTCAAGGCCATGCGCCATTCCGGAACCTTGTGAGTGCAACAGTGCAATGGTTCTAGATAAACGAGGCTCATAGGCTTGGAACGGAGCATCCAGGCACGGCGCGAGTCTGCTGATGTTGCCAACTTGCTACTGCCCTATAAGCGAAGTAAGCTGGCTCAGATACTTGTTGACAGCACCACTCGGAACGATCGTCGCCGTTGCTGCCTCATTGCGGCCAGATCAACACGGAACAATCAGCATTTGTCTTGTTGTCTGCTGAGGCGCCAAGAACACGTTTGAGAAAGCGCTGGGGGCCCAGAGCAGCTGTGCTTGCACCACAAGCTGGCGCGCAACTATTTGATGCTCAGGTTCAGTTCGCCGAAGGAGTTGAACAACGCCTAGGTGATTGAAATTAAGCCAATGTGTTTCTGGTTGGAACCGGCGTTTCGAGATGGGCTGGTGGACTCGACTTGAAATCTAACTGTTCTTGAAGGGCTTTGTGTGGCTCGTTCCATGCCGTGATTTTCCGCATAATTGGCAGAGCCAATTGTGCGATCGTTACTCTGAATTGCATCCTGGATCGTTAATGCATTTCTCTCGGAATCCCGTGAAAGGGCTCGCTTTTGCATCCCGAGCGAAATCAAGCCTTGCCACAGGGTGCCGAAATCCAGAAAGGCCAGTGCACACAACGACGAACTGAGTTGGAGAAGTTGCCATATTCGGCCCCGAAATTGGATCAATCTCGTTTTCTGGAATGTTGTGCGCCCTGGCTCTTTTTGCATATTAATAAGCTCTCAGAACGAGAGTAGAGAGTGCTGTACAGGAGAGGTCTACGCGTCCTGCAGCAACAAAGCTTCTTCCGGTCAGCACCCATTAATTGGCGGTCTGAACTCCTTTGCGTGTGAAGATCGTCCAGCTGTTGGCCGCTGCTCAGACTTCTCCGGCTTAGCGGCTTAGCGTGCCATCTACATGCTTGCGTAGAGGAGCCAGTCCTGCAAGAGTCCACGCATTGGATTCCAGAGACAAAACAAAACAGCGCCGAGAAGGTGTTCAGAACTCTGGGCCGAAGATGGCATGTCTGCCCAACGCAGCCTGTGGAGATTTCCATACTGTTCCTTGGACGCACAGCAGCATTCGAAAGGAATGGACGAACAAATTCTGCAGGATCATCAGCATGGACCTTTACAAAACATTGCGAGAAGTTTCATCTATGGTATATTCCACGTACATTCCACGTACAGTCCGACAGTTGCAGGTTCTTGTCAGATTGGATGGACGCCTGGCCAGAGCTTGGAACGGCTTGTGTTTTTACATGTTTTTACTATTTGAAGGTTTCGATGTTTGTGTGGTGTATGGAATGACATCAGTTTTACTGAAGTTGGGAAACCGTTATAATTTGCTGGGGCACCGTCAACCGTGACATTTGGGATTGGCTGAAGCAGTGGTCATTCTACATTTGGGACGGCGCAGATTCTTGCAGCCCAGCGTTTGGAGGCTTATGCGCTTGAAAGGGATCTGTCCGAGGACAGGCCCTGGCCTTCGGTGACGATGCCCATGGGCAATGTCAGGCCATCGAGTTGCTTGCTGCGGGCGTCTGCGGGCCATGGGCAAGTGTGTGCTCTTCCTGAAGTTTCTGCGGAGCAAGTACTTCGATTGAAATACGGTAGAATGCCTTGCAGGTGCCAGAGCTGCCAAACGATTTGCGGTACACCTCGGCTGCCGCAGGATGTCGTACACTTAAGCTGCCGTTTTGGGCAGGAATCTATGCGCTCCTCAAGTTTTTCAGGTCGCCACACGGTTTTGCTGCGAAGCGATGGGCAAGCAGTTGCATTTGGAGCAAATGAACATGGACAGTGTGATGTCTCTTGGTTACAACTCCGTGACATACACTAAAAAAGTGCTAGGTTCTGGATGCTCAAGAAGATGTCAGAAGTACTGTAAAGCCTGGAGAGGTTCTGCAAAGCAACCAAGGTGCCAGTGTTGAGCGCTCCTTTGCGCTATACAAGCGCTGCGGCTGGTAACTGGCACACGGCCGGCCGCTCTGGGCATAATTCAGGGTTGCAGCAGACATGCTTTGTAGGATGGTTATTGGATACTTAGCTGTCTAGGTCTTGTTGCGAAACGATGGGGAAGCGGTGGCCTTCGGCCGGCGCACGGAGGGCCAGTGCAATGTTCCTGCGTTTGCCTCAACGTAGCTCAGGGTTTCTGAGCAAATCTGTGAAAGGGCTGCTTGTGCTTCTCACGCGAATGCTAGCAAGACATACCCAGGCGCTGACTGTCGCGGGGCTGGTGCAATCCAAGCTGTGCAACGCAGACACCAAAGCCGGCCACTTGATCAGGGCTTTGCAGCAAGGTGGCAAGCAGATCTGATCTGCAAGGAGGCGTCTGTCCAAGCTGGCAGCCCCAGCCCTGTTCGTCGATTGGGCCGAGCACGGCGCCAACTGCAGCCCGCATTGAAGCTTGCAGCGAGAGAGTTGAGATACGTCGCTGTGGCTGCAGGAGCATTTCATACTCTACTTCTGCGAAGTGATGGTGTCGCTGTATCCTCAGGATCTTACAAGTCCTTGGGGCTGATTCCCAAACTTCCAGCTGGAGTTAAGTATGTTGACGTGGCAGCGAATTTGGAGCACACATTGTTGCTCCGCAATGACGGGCACGTGATTGCCTGTGGGCCGGACGATGGAAGCGAACGGCAGCAGATTCCTCTGCTCGAGGTGGGTAAGAAGTACGTAGCCATAGCTGCAGGAGCTCATCATAGCGTACTGCTACGCTGCGACGGGGCAGTCGTTGCTTGCGGACACAACGGTGATGGTCGCTGTGAAGTTCCACCTCTGCCACAGAAAGCTCATTACACCTTTGTTGCAGCTGGCCTGCGACATACAGTGGTTTGGAGGAGTGATGGGATCGCCCTGGCTTTTGGCAGCAGCTCGCTTCCAGCAGGTAGCCAGCGCGTGCAGGCTGGGCCTTGTGACATACCACACGAGGCTGCAGCAGCTGCTCAGAGGTTCCCGAACAGGAACGGCCAGATTCGGCAGCAACTTTCCAGAAACGCCAGGATCTGTTCTGCCAGTACCGAAGCCGCAGTGAACTTGGACTCAAAGAAGCCCAAGAAGGAGTCGCCATTTGCCCCTGGCTTGCATCATGACAGTTTGGTGGAGAGACAGTTTGGTGGAGAGGAAGCGTTTTTAACTGGCTCTGCAATGATGCAAAGCCAAGGTATTAGAAGGCGGACTTGGTCTGCATTGACCCAACGTGCCAAAGCTGTACGTGATTGTGTACTCGCTGCAGACGCCGGATGTCGCATGGATCCTAACATGGGATCCTTGCGGCATGCTGATTGCAAATCGGTTTGTGAAAACTAGATCCTGCAGTGACTGCCAACAAGGCGTGAACGTGACAGAAGCAGAATTGACGGGTTCTTGGTACTTTGCTAAGCTAAGCCAAACTACCTAAGTGCTCTGACAGCACCTCATGTCTTGGCTCAAGCCTGGTCAGAGCGTTGATGCGCTATCAATTCAGCTGACTCGAAGACATGGCAGTCACACGAAATGTCACGAAGATGCAAAAAAATACTTGCAATACTTGGATCAACTTGGAACCTCCCAGCATGATTGCCCGTCCAGCTTTGCCACTTCGCAACGCGCTGCGTCTGCTCTGCAGATCTCCTTTCCAGCAGAATGCTTGGGCTGGCTTCTTAATATCTGGCTTCATTTCTCCATAACTCTGGTCCGCACATACAGCCTTCAGCCAGTTGGCAGTTTAAGCTGCTTTTGTCTTGCTTTCCAAGGTAAGGGCTGGGCTGCCTGCTGCCCCTGCGCAGGCATGTAAAAGGACCATCATGATTTTTTTTTGAAGCGGTGAAATCAGGCTGCGCGAGCGTTTGCCTCGCCAGGCAGGTACTGGAGTCATACCCGTCATACCCGTTTGAGTTTGAATGCCCAGCAGCTTGCTTCATGAACACTAGGAAAAGACGAGGAAGGAACTACAAAGATGGAGGCAGCAGACAACGGAGAAGCCAGGCCACACATGCTACGCTGCTGTGCGCGAGTAGTTGTAGTAGTGTGTGTATTTTAGTTTGAAGGAGTTTGAACAACTGCTGGGGTTGTTCCTACTTCTCGACCCAGCGCTTGGTGTGCGACCGTTATGTCTTTTGTTTCGTATTTCGCGCCACGTCTCCTGCTGCCTGGAGCCAACCCACTCATCAGGGCCGGCGGACAAATACGGCTCATTTGGCAATAGGGGGGGGCCACAGTAGACGGCACTTACTAGTAGGAGTTTCGTTGTGGCCGCCGGCTTCCCAAGCAGCTGGACGCGCGAACTCGCTACACCATTGCTTCAACCTGATGAAAACAAAACCCCCCAACCTTTGCTACTGTAATGAAATTGCCAAGGCTGGAAACAGTGTTTTTATGGGCATCGTGTATCTGGGGTCCTGCAGAAGGCTCAAAAGCCGGATGAATTTACATCACAGGCGATGAGTATCAAGGGCCCTCCATCATCCGCAATGAATCTCTTCTTTGGCCCTTGGGCACATGGATACTCTTTGGCCGCATTTCTAGACAAACAAGGATTGCCTGAACACATTGGTCTTTGTTCAAGGGGTTCTGTGGAGCTGACAGTCAAAAGGCTAGGTTGCTTTCGCCATGCAGTGTTTGAGTCAATGAGATAGCATCCGTGAACTTGCCAACTCCGGCCAGCATTTCAATGCTGGGGCAAGTGTGCTTGAAGCCTATCTGTGCTGAGAGCAAAGTGTGCGAGCCTTCTGCTGAAGCCAGGAAAGTAAACGAAAACGTGCCCTGCCTCGGAACTGCAGTGCGAGGCAATTGCAAAAATGCAGGCTTAGGAATCTTCTGGTGACAGGCAGTGTGCATTCATGTTTTTTGTGCAAATAGATGACGCTTTGCAAAGGTGCAATTCACATGGAAGTCAGCAATCTTCACTTGCTTCGTGGGAGGGTTCTGCATATGGCATTTCCGGCATGTTCACTCCAGCCTGGCGAGTTCCCCTCTCGTTTCAAGCGCCAGGTACTATGACTACCTGAAGGAGCGCAAGGAATCTGAGACCCGAGCCATCACCACTCAGGAGGGGAGTCCAACCTTCACTCTGGTGTGATAAGTGATAGGCGATACATGCCCATCACCACGACTAAACTCAAGCCCGACCTGAGGGGCTGCAGGGCCAGTGCTATGCGGCTCAGCAGTTTGTGAGAATTGATTGATTGAAAGAAATGCAGCGGAGGAGCGAATTGGCGTGCCTAGACTCGGCGGCCCGTTCGAGCTGGTGGACAGGCCGCAAGTGGATGCAAGTGGGCGTTTCCCGAGTCCATGGTGCCAATCTGTCTGATGGCCAGGAAGGGTAACACAGTGACTGACAAGGATTTTTTGGGCCAGTGCCCCACCTCATGAAGTCTCTGGTGCGCTTGTCCTCAGTCCAGGATCATGTCATGATGCAGGTACCTTCTCATCTACTTCGGGTTCACATTTTGTCCTGACATTTGTCCTCAGGCTTAGTTGCAGCTGAATGTGCTAGAGCTTCGCTGAGCAGTCGAAAGCAAATAGCTTCCACCCAAACGCAGTAAGCGGAATGGTGCGGTGAAAGGCAGACCTCCGGATCTTAAAGACCCAATGTTTGATGTTATTGATTACTACGGTTTTGCATGCAACAACTGTACGCAGAACTGTTGTGTTCGGATGGGCTGGAGCTGGATGCGACTTGTCCAGATCAACTAGTGCCAGCAACCTTCGAAACGATGCCACAGAGAGCCCAACTGCGCTTTGAGGCCAGATTCCAACAAATTTCTCTCCGGAAGCAGAACAAAGAACCGTGTAGATCCTCTCTGCGTCTAATCCGTAGGCTTTTTTTTTGTTTGGCACTCACGTTTGCTCATTCTATTGCCTCACTGCCGGCAGAAATGGTGCCAGTCCTGGATTTGCACCAATCATGTCCCTTACAGGGAAAGCACTAGTGACTAGTAATGACCACATTCTCAAGAGGACCTCTTTTTAGAAGTGGCGTTTCACTTGCGCAAGAGGAGTGGGCCGGAGGTTTGGGAACTCCCTATCAACCTTATTGTAGGCTTGCCAAGCAACTGCTCTACTTCGTGGGCTATACCCATGAAATTATTCAGAGCCCCAGGAGATCCTTTTACAGGGGGATGTTTGGAATGCAAACGGCGCATGCTTCGGTAAGCTAGTCGGCTTCAAGACGTGCCTCAGGAGATGGAGAAACAGACGCAAGCAGTGGAGCTAATCGAAGCAGAGCCTTGACCTTTCCAGCCAGCTCCTGTTTCAAGTGAACGTGGCAATCGAGCCTTGTTTTTTTTGCCAAGGTTCGGGCCCATTGCAACTCCAGTTTTCATCAGCGGTGATCTCAGGCTACTAGAGTGAACTTTCAAGACAGGGCCTGCCAAGTTCAAGGCGTCGACCCCCAGCGAGATCTGCCTGCCGTTGTGGACGACTACTGCGAGGACTGCAGAGAGAGATGCTGCTGACTTCTGGCCCATCAAATTTTGCTAGCTGAGCAGCAACATTTGTCGGCTCTACAGCTCTCTGATGTTTTTGTTTCCATTATCACCGCCGGGTCGCTCGCAAGCACATCCGATGTGTTCGTGTCCCGCAAGATGGGGAAAGAGCAAAGTTTCTTGGCGACCGCTTGAACTTCCAGTAAGATTCCTAAACTTGCAGCCAGAAGCAAGTCATGTCAGCTTCGGGTGGCTTACCACGACAGGTCGTGGCTTACAGAGACAAGCGCGGAAATGGGATAGAGTAACAAGGCCTGGAGAGAGAGCGACAGTAAGAACTCACGTTTGCACGGCACCATTCAATCATTGAGCAGTCTTTCAATGTGGCCCTGAATCACCGGGTGTTGGCCTCCTTAGAATGGCTTCTTCACTTCACCCCAAGCCTTCCCTGACCTTACACAATTTGAGCTAACTTCATCCAACAGGCAGGGTGCGTGCGCGCCTCCATGTTTGTAGCATTTTCAAGGCTGTAAACCTGCCAAAAGGGGATGTGCGCACGCACTGCTTGCTCAAGTTTGTGAATGCCCCGAACCGCCAGCCTTCCTTGACCCGGCAAGGCCTCCCATACCTGTCCACAGTGCAATATCTTTTTGGGTGTGTGGCAAACTTCCTTGTTGTGTTCAGAGAATCTTCTGCTGCGGTACGAGGATACTTGTGTCGTCGTGGTTGCTACGCTGCCCCCTAGTTTTCAGTGCTCTTATGTACACTACAGCAGCTCGCGAGCGATGCTGAAGACTTTCAAGCAAGGAGGATCAAAGCATGAACCATTCTGCGGTGTAGGCAGAAGAGTCTTCTTCGGGCTTTAAGATATCCGTGCTGGATTTGTATAAGGCCATCGAGTCAGAGACTGCTGCAGGAGTTCCATCCACGCATAGTTGGCCTCACTGGCACATCTGAGCAGATCAAGAAGGTCACCATGCACCTTGCATTCTTGTATAAATCAGTGGCTTCACTGAGCGCTTGACAGGTGAGTCGCCGCACTCTCAGTGAAGATGCTAGCTTGTGCTTACGGTTCTGACATGCACTGTCAGGGGCGTACAGAGTCTACTACAACGAAGGCTTGAAGACAGATGATGCGGTCGAGTCCTTAGCCAGGATTTACCCCCCCTCTCCCCCCTATCATAGGATCTTTGAGGGAGAAGTTCCCCCAGTCCCAGGAGAAATGCTTCCAACATTCTGGGGTGAGGGGAGGAGGTAACAGAGACATGAAGAAATGCTATCTCCACCAGGTGTTTGTTCCAGGTCTTGTATGAGATTTCACGGGATTTCCTGGAAGTCCCTATAGAAGGTTCCTAGGAGGGACCTAGGGGCTCCCAGAAATTTCACTGGCTCGTGACGCTGGGACACCTGCAAAATCTCCTAATTCAATCCCTGGTAAGTCCTTGTAGGAGGCTTAAGGAGAGTTCCTGAGGATGTCCGTGACCATAAACATGATAGTAAATTCCCCCCCTCCAGTAGAATGTTTTTGATACAATCCAAGCAGGAAAATTTCCTATCAGACACCCCTCCCCACTCCCCTTGATAGGAGAGGCGCAATCCAAGGACTACCTGGTAGACCACTCCATCATTCATTACTTCATCGGCAAGAACGGCAAGTTCCTTGATTTCTTTGGCAAGAACATGACTGCGAAGGCCAGCAGAGCCGCGTGTGTTCAGGTATGTAAGGGCTATGATGCCTACTGCACCTTGAAGCGATCCATAGTACGTTGTTTCTCTATCGCGATACGAAACACATGTACACAAGTATAGGAAACGGTGTTTGC